ATAATGTAATAATTATAATATTTTTTAATTAAAACTTCATTCTAGCAACTTTTATAGGTAATAATTGTTAGCTATATAAAACACAAGAATTTCAACAACTTCAGTATAAACATTTGCTGTTATCACACTACTACATCAATAACCAAAGATGATGTTTAAGGAGATACTATGCTCATCAGGAGACACAAATAAAACAAAATGCCTTTTACATTTTTTTAAGTCAAAGTTTGCTTTCAAGGGCTGTTTCTTTGCTTTTTCCTTATCTGATATAAAAAAAATTCCTACTCTCATTCTTCTCTTGAAGGCAGCAAATGAGCTTTCAATACTGTAGCAGCTGTGCTGCAGCAGCCAGGCTTCCTCCTCCTCCTCTTCCAGCGGACACAGGATAATAGCCTTAAGTCCTGCACTGCAATTGAATCAGAGCTGGCCTCATGTCAACCACAGCTGCTCTTATTAGAAAGCAAAGAGGGAGATAGATGCAAAGGGGGTGGAGGGGTGTGTGTGTGTGTGTGTGTGTGTGTGTGTGTGTGTATGTGTGCCCTCACATACACACACATATAGTCATAAGCCAACAAGCAGACAAAATAAAGCAAGAAATCCACAGAGAGATCTAACACAAAGCCATTCAAAATTTAAGCCCAAGTGAGATTGACAAAAAGGCATAGGGGTCTCAGAAGCTGAACTCCATCACTGAAAGAGGAGGTACACACAGACAAGAAGCCAGGATGAAGTAGAGTGAAGGAGGGGTGACACACAAACACATCAAGAAGCCAAAACAAGACAGCAATAAACAGCCATCAGTGCAAATATGGATTTAAGCCCGAGGCCGGGCACACCATGCTGGATGTGGTTCTGGGCGTTGTTTCCCTCTGAATTTATTGCCCAAATCATCCTTTGTTCACATCACCCAGCGGGATGTTGAACAAAGGAGGAAGGGACAAGAAAACTAGAAGAGGACTAAACACACTGACAGGCTGGAAGCTACACAGCAAGATGCGTGGTAGAGCTGCAAATCACCAAAGCAGCACTCAACCATAGCTTTCCTGGTTTTGTTTAGCCACAACCACTAGGCTGCTCCCAGTATGGTCTTCACTGACACCATAACTCCTTTAAGCTTCCACGTCTATTTCAGAGCTTGCTGAACTGACAGGCTATTCTCTCCACTGTGTAACTTGTAAATAAAAACTGAATGAAATAATTTGAAAAGCTTTTAAATCCCATATTTTATTGAAAACAGTATCAAAACTACAAATCAAAATTTGAAACGGAAAAACTTATTGTTTTTTGAAAAACATCTTCATTTAATGATGCCAGCAACATGTTTCACTAGATTTAGGACAGGGGGACTTGTGTTGTATCAGCTCTTCTTTTAGCAGCACTCTGCAACCATTTAGGAACTGAGGGGACTGAAAGGAAAATGTTTTCCTAGCTCTGCTTGATAAAGATTTCAGCAGTTCGGGGCCTCCTTTGTTGTATTTCTCACCTTATAATGCACCAAATGCTTTCAGTAAGTGACAAATCTGGACTGCAGGCAGGCCAGTTTAGCACGTGGCCCCTTATTATACAGCCATGCTGCTGTAATTCCTGCAGAATGTGGTTTGGCATTGTCTTGCTGAAGTAAACGAGGCCTTCGCTGAAAAAGACATTGCCTGCATGGCAGCATACAATATCTTGCTCCTAAACCCATATACAGTATATCATTCAGCATTAATGGTGCCTTCAAAGATGTGCAAGTTACTTGAGCTGTCTGCACTAATGTGACTCTACAACATCACAGATGCTGGCTTTTGAACTGCATGCTGCTAACAAGTCAGAGGGTCCTTCTGCTTTTTAGCCAAGAGGATGAAACATCCATGATGTCTGAATCTTGTTTATATATGTTTTTTTTTTCTTTGCATGGTACAGTTGTAACTTGCTTTTGTGGATGCAATGTGACACCATGTTAGCTGACAATTGTTTTTCAGAGGTATTCCTGAGCCCATGCAGGGATTTTCATTAGAGCCAGAAGATCATGACCATTCAGTAATGGTTTTCCACCTTGTTCCTTGGTTAAAGAGATTTCTCCAGATTCTCTGAATCTTTCAATGATATTATGTACCTTAGAAGATGAAAACGGCAAAATCTTTGCAATTTTACATTGAGATGCATCAATTCTTAAATTGTTGAGCTATTTGCCACACAGAGTGATGAACCTCACTCCATCCTTACTTCTAAAAGACTCAGCCTCTCTGGGATGCTCTTTTTGACCTGTTGCCAATTACCTAAGTAGTTGTGAGGTGTTCCACCAGGTCCTTTGTTGCCCTTGTCTCGATTTTTTTTTTTTGTAATATGATGCTGGCATCAAATTCAGAATAAGCTTATCTAAAACAAAATGTATTAATTTGAACATGAGATATCTCATCTTTGTACTGTTACCAAATGGATATGGGATAAAAGGGGTCTGGAACTGGGGTTGTACATTGTTTGCAGAAGTCATCATCTACTTCACAAAAGTTATTATCTTGTTCACACAAAATCTGGATGCTTATGCTTAACTGGGTGAGTGCTGGTTTAAAAAGGTAGCAGCCATCAAGGTCAGCAAGAGCAACCTAACCATTGTCTGTTAGGTACAGAAAGACATAGGCAGAGTCCTCCGTCAGTGCTGAGGTCAGTTAATGTCTCAGAGGATCCACTGTGCCAACAAGTCCTCAGAATCCACAGTGTTTGAAAAACCTTTTAAAATATTGATAGTGAAGATGATTAAATTTTTATACTGGCAGTGATGGGCTGTGCTAAACAAAAGCAGTGGGTGGCTGCTGAAGGTGTGACTGTTGACTTAGCATTATTTATTGATCACCAGTGACTAACTATGATATGCCTCATCAGCCATTCACCAGCAGTGACAGAGGGACTGCATTTACAGTTATTAAAAACAAATTTTATTTCCCGAGGACATTTTGAATAAAAAATTTTTAGGGGAGTCTCAGAAATGTTCTGAAATATTTTCTATTTATCTAAACAATACCATTTATTTGCATATAACTTTTTAACACTATTTAACACAATTTTAATCCTAAAAACAACCTTGGCTTTTCTAAATGTTATATACAGTATATTTGCATGAATTTGATGATTCACAAGCCATAAGTAATACACAGAAATGTTTTTTTTTTTTTTTTTAAAGATTCCTACAGTGAAACTACAGTAGTAAAACTACTGTACATTATTGAATGCATGGTCAGGGAGCACCTGAAAACCTCTGCTCTAACTTGTACAAATGGAACCTTTAATACATAGATAAGTGGTACAAGAGCCGTTCTTGATGGAAAGCCCCACAATGACCTTTTGAGATCCTGGTTTAATTTCTCATGATACATCTAAGTGCAAGTGGTCTTTGCTCAGCTGATAAAGGAACCAGGGCCCCTGCACTCTAATTAACTGGATTCTATTTGCGACCTAATTGCTTTGCCTTTACAGCAATTCTCTGTCATTCAGTCTGCTGGCCTATGTTTGTGCTTGGGTGACTGGCGTACAGGGAAAGACTGGGGTGATGGAGATAGTTATGGAACGGCTGAAGAAAAATCCGAGCAGATCACAAAAGACAGCACATTTACTGTATATGTGTGTGCATGTGCCTGAACTGATTTTCAATAGCGCTGACAGTGTTCCTGCGTGTGGGAGTGCTGTGACAGACCTCCAGTTAGCTCCAGGAGCCATTTAAATCAAGATCATGTTAATAAACCAAGTGATGCAAACACCATGCAAACACACACACACACACACACACACAAAATAAACAAATACATACATATATAATCAAGTGGTTTATTTTTGAGTGTTGAATTTATTAGTTGAAAGTAGTTTGTGTTTGTGTTATTGTTATAATTGTTTAAAAAAATATCATTAACCACACTGGTAATAAATAGATCTATGTCATTTATGAAACCTAAGAAAGAAATGTTCACAAAGCTGCATATAATTCGGTGTAAACATTTCTTTAACTATGATAGACAGACAGACCAGTCCATAAAATTGATGCAGTACAGATATAAATACAGCAATGGTTACATAAAGTCCTAACTATAACACTTTACTTTCAGCAGCCATTTTTCTCTTACCTAAATGGATGATATGTGACATCCATCATAATCTAGACTCATAAATTTAGTTTTTAGGAAGGAGCATACTGCCACTTACTTCAGGCTTCTGCTGTCTCTCCTTAATTTTTTACAGTATTACTGCTCACACTCACAATCTGGTTGAGTCGATACCAGGCGGCTTGCCTCTTAATGAATCTATTTGCTGAGACCTTGGTCCAGTCTACTCAGCATTCTTCAGCTCAGCCAAGTGGTAAAACTGAATGACACGGTCATCTGAGGTTAGCCCACATCTTCAGATTGTATTGATTGTTTATGTGGACATAGTAGTGTCAACGAGCGGAAGAGAGTTGATCTTAATCCATTGATAAGACAGTGCAGAATAAACAAAACATAAGCTATAGCTGTCATCCTCTTGGCAAAATATGTTGTTAGACGACAGCTGTGCTACGTGGCAAGTGTTGAGGTATCATGGGGGCTAGTTTAAACTTGGCTCAGAAGATGCCTTCACCATCTAGGGATCCAGAAGGCCAGAATGTGAATGTTAAAATAATGTAAATCAACAATGTACAGCAATGCAGTATTACATGGCTACTTATGTCTTCCATTAAAGTTATCTTGAACACTTATGTACTGCCAGCTATTGCCTTATAATGTCTGGAAGTGAATCTGAAATTTGCATATAATGTGAGCTTCAAATCACCTCCTCCCTTTCAGTCAATCAAATACTATAGATGTAGCCTCAGGGAGGGCACGTGGTAATGATCAAATATTTATTCCAAAAATTGTACTCATGAGTTTGCTCAAATATTGGTGGAGACATGTTCCTACCTGTCCATAGACTCCTGAGGGAAATATCTGACTCTTTAGTTATTTAAAAGCCAAAGTACTGTACACAGTACATGAGCATCCTTACTCATCAGTTGTCCTTCAGTAAACACTTAATCCCTACCAGCTCCACAAAAGACAGCTCATGATAATATACCATATACAATATGATGCTTTATGTTGTTATAGCTTAAGGACATTTGATAAACCTTAATGTCAGTGCTAAACCAACAGATGGTGATGTAGTGTAAGTTAAAGCTACTCAATTTATTACAGCACAGTATGAATCAGCCTCCCAGTTGCATGAGTTTGCAATGAGGTCAAATAAAAATAGTAATAAATAGTGAATAATGAATGTTCATACATGCCTCGTCTGAATGTTTTTGAAAATCTAACCCTACACCCCCCTGTCTTGCTGGGTTACCAAGTTGGAAAGGCTCAGTAATTTGGGCTCTTTTCTTTTCATTGCATCTTCCATCTTCTTCCTCTCAGTCTGGCACTTACTCAGGCAGTCCTCACACAGCAGGCTCTCTTTGACCAGGTAAAGGCTTTCTGTTACTGTCATTAGCTTGTGGCTGGGTGCGTCCTCAGTAAGAATGGGGTTCCTGTCCAGATTGACCTTTTCCAGTTTGCTGAGCCTCGAGAGGCATAGGGGAACCTGGGTGAATCGGTTGTCTGAGAGGCCAATGTGGCGGAGCTCCTTCAAGGCAGCGATGGAGGTGGGAAGAGCTTCCAGCTGGTTGAGACCTAGGTTGAGCACGTGAAGCTTCTTTAGCAGGCCAATCTCGTGGGGAAGGCTCGTCAGACGGTTGTTACACAGATTCAAAACCAGCAGGTTCTGCAGGCGGCAGACAGTCACAGGGATATGCTCCAGCTACAACACAAACAGTGACACATATAATAAACAACAAAGCCATTTATACCTACTTTTTATATATTTTTCTTCATGATCCTTTGTTTTAAAAGGCATTTTGGTGTGGATATAGTCACACGATGCTTGCTTACCAGATGGGCAAGTCAGAAACTCCTCCAGGTCCCACAACACCCAGGGGTCCAGAAGGGGTAATTTGATAAATTTCAAATTCATTTGTTATCAGTGTTTGCACCACATAAAGCACAATATACTGTAAAATGAAATAAAAGGGGCTTTATGGTGCCAACAGTGTTATTAGCTCGTTTAGATGATCAGTTTATTATTTGAGGTTACTGTATCTTGTGTATACAGTGGACATATTGCTAAATGAATTCATGCGTATTTAATTGTACTCAAACTAGTTTAATAGCTAATATGGGTCCACAGCTCATTCTCTAGTCCTATTTGGCACAAAAAAATACAAAAAAGAATAAAGACTTGAAAAAGATTTATCATGACCAAAGGATCCAAGAAACTAGTTTCAGTGCACTAAAAATGACTCTTTTTGGACCTTGTGGTACAAAGTAAAACAAAGCATCTCACAGTGTGTAGAAGAAAGTACAGGTGAAAAACAAGTTGAGGTTCCACCACAATTACATTTCGGGTACACACTCACTTTCTCATTTCCATCAGTGAAGATAAAACACAATAAAACATTTAGGAGTGATCTCCAATAGGTTAGAGTGAGGTCACAGAGCTCCTGATTTTTAATCCTAAATGTGGGTCAGCCTTCCAAACCACTGGAACCTGCACCTTCTACAGTGCAACCCGGCACCCTCCTTGAACGATGAACACCTTAGACCCACTCAAGCAGCTTCAGAGCCATGGATTATAAAACAGCTGTTGACACAGGCTGAACAGTACTCCACGTAAAGAGTGAACTGATTTTATGTGTAATAATTGGCAGTATGCCCCTTTAATAGTACAGGTGCCTTTTAAAGCATTTTTTGCTCAACTTCCTGCCTTACTCACATAGTTGCTGTGAAGATCCAAAACAGTGATGCTGCTGAACTGATCAATAAAATCTGGAATTGTTCTGATCAGGTTCCTGCTCAGGTACAGCTGGTCCATGTCATGCAGTTTCTGGATGCATTTTGGCACGGTGGTGATCTCCTTGAAACTGAGGTCCAGTCGTCGTTTACCATCCAGTGTCAGCTCCATGCAGTTCTGAACCATTTTCAGGGTGAGTTTCTTCCCTTTAGTCTGTTTGGTTTTGGTTCCCTTGGCCATGCTGCTGCAGGGAGACAGGACAGCGAAGAGGTCTGTAGTTAACAACAGTTAATAACGCACTGTGACAGAGGAGTTGATAGTGGAACCTCTCTGCATGATTATATTACCTAACGCTGTCTAGCCGGATGTAACTGTAGACAACGATCTTTCTCCTTAAATAAAATATGCATTATCACCACTTATTCCATGGCAAAACAAATTAACACTTTGCAGAGCCTGAATTCAAGAGTATTTAAAATGTATAATCACTATATAAAATAAATTTAAGTATCATAAAATTGTTAAAGTAAATGCTCAAGGTTTTTTAAACATATTTTTATTTTCTTTTAAAGACTTTAACAGTCAAAAAACTCTTATTGCTCACCTGCATTAATGAGTCCTCTTCTTAGATCCAATGCACTGAATACCAGGAAGAAGACAAAAGAGAATAAGACACCTTCTGTAGGTTGAGTGTCACTTCTGTCTCCAGCCTGAGAATTCTACGTGATATCAAGATGCCACCAAATAGCATTGTAATCAAAACCTAGTCTGACTTGTTGTTGTTGAAAAGGAATGAGCTGACATGTTTTGTGGTGGCTGTCTGTCAGGCAGCCTGCAGCTCTGGCCTGGACTTGGTTAGACTTGGCATTTGTTTTCATCTGTTCCCAGGCAACTGCTGTTTGGTCTGAGTGTGCTTTATGGCAGTGAGCAACTGGACATCATTTAAAAATTTACAGTAAACTTTTCTAGGATTATTGTCTTTGAATGAAAATTGGCATCAGTGTTCACTGAGGCAACAAAGGCTGTAATTCTCCTTGGCAGCCTTGACATTGCTAGATGTTTATTTAAAAAAAAGAATATATAGGATTTTTTGAGTTGGAAAAAAATGGAAAGATTGTGTAAAATTATTACTTTATTTCATTTCCATTACTTTACTTTGGCTATTTCCAGTCACAGTTACTTAATTGAAACTTTTTGCAGTTGACATAAAAATCTCTGCGCATTTGGAATTTCTTTTCCAGATGTTCATTTACATTACTAGCAGAAAATAATGCAAAATTGGATTATTTTTATTTATTATCATAAATGGTCATGTGCATACAGTTGCATACAAATGAAACATAATTGAAAATAACCCCCACAAAAATAAATGCTGTTTATAATTATTAAAATATAGTCAAAGTTTATATATTTACCAGATTTTGTGTTAAAGTTGACCTTAACGTTAACATTTCACACACAGAGACTGCTGTGTTTGTAATTAGTTGTCAGTCTGATCTATTTCCCATGCTATAATAAAATACAGGAGTCACACGGCTGCATTGATATCTTTCTCGCTCACTATCTTGGACATTACTCAGCTGTGACCTGTCTAAATGTAGTCTGATGTGTTTCATATGACGCACTTTTACTTGATATAATTGCTGCACAATAATTCCAACCTGCCACTAGGTGGTGTTGTCTGCTTACAAATCACAGTGTCATGACATCCATAAAATTTCTACAGTTAATTGTCAGATATTCCTGAAGACACTGCAAGGTAAAAACATACCCACAGCTAGATTTCCTACTGTTGTTTAGAAAAATTAGAAATACATCTGTGACTTATAAGTAAAGAGTTCATTTTTTATGTCACTGCTGTAAATCACATTGTGGTTATATTTGATAAGTACTGACCAGGAAGTGGGATCTGGTGCATGATATCAAGATGAACAGAAAAAGGCTCTTAAGATGCATAGGGAAAAATATAAAGGCAAATATTTTCATTGTAACACCACTCTTAGCACCAACTTTCTATTTTTAATTACAAAATATCAGAAATGACCCCTTAGAGAACAGAAAATTAGAGTCACAAGGATTTTGTTAACTTATTGGCTAGAATGTTCTGGTTAAAAGAACTATAGGCCTTTTTCATGAATATGTTTTAACTTGCCACAGAAAATAATAAAACACAAGTATAAAAGACATAAAACCAGGCCAAACTGATTTTATGTGATTTTGCTCTTGCAATTTTTTTTTATATTTTGCTAGTGCTATTTTTTTTAAATAGCTGAAATACAACATAGCAACACTAGTGCTGATGCCAAGTTGGTGAGAAAACTTTGAGGCACTACTATAAATTTGCTACAATGACAGATTCTAAAAGTGGAAGCTGAAGTACCTGATTAATTTTAAATCATAACCATGTTTCTCATAATTACAGTTTGAGGGTATTTATTCCAACCTGGTTATTTTTCTTAGGTCTGCATGCACCGACTTAAAATCAGGTCATTTATGGAACCACATTAAAAAGGGAATATTGTGTGTATATAAACACACACTTGAATTACGGCATTAAATATAATCATCCTGCAAAAAATAAGACAATTTGTTTGGGGTAGGGTTCAATTCCACTGTGCCCATCAGAGCAAAAGTAGAGGAAAAAGTAGCCACAAAATTGCATATTTTTTATAAACTACAGACAAACTCAAACCCTTTTTACTTCCTCTCTTGTTGCCCATGGTGTCCACCCAGGTCTACCCATGTGTTGCAAAATTATTTTTTATAAAAACAACAGGAGAGTGTCTAATATCGCCTATTAGCCTTTATCATTTCCCTCAGCAGTGTCAAATGCAGGTCAGGAGATATGCAGGTCAAATTGTAGGGAATGGCGCTGACCTAATTGAATGAGGGACTAGCAGTTCAGATTACACCTAATGAGTAGAAATGTGAACACAGTGTGAATGTGCATGTGTCTGTGTACTCAAGCAACAACTCCATCATCTTTGCTGTCAACTGAACATGTTGAAGAGTATGTGAAAGAAACTAGAGTTGAATTTAACAGATTTTAATGGTTGATTGAAATCACAATTGAGCCCAGAATGGTTACAGCACTTATCCAAAACTACAAAAAGAAAAGAATGACCACATAACATACAACAACACTGTTTTGTTCTAGTGTCTCGGTCTCACTTCCCTTTAAGACTGCTTTGTAAGTAGAGTTTTTGATTAGCAGTTAACATGTGAGATTATGAACTGTGTGAATTCTAAAAAAGGTCATTTAATTCATGCAGAATCGACATTTACAGGACACAAGCCGTTTTAAAAAGCACACATAAATATAATGCCAGAAAGATGCGGGTTTATCCTCTCAGGATCAGAGACATGGAATTGAACACAATGCTGAGAGAAGGCTCCAGGATTACTTTGTGATTTTTCTTTTCCAGGATGCTTCTGCATCCTTTGTCTTCTTTATGAACTACTGTTTAGGCATTCTAATTCAAAACACAAGTAAAGCTGCTTTTGTGCAGTGATGAGTGATAGCTTGCTGGACATGTTTTGGAAAGCTGGCACCGCAGGGGCAGAGGAATTCCATGTGTTTATCTAAGCCTTGAATGGATGCGGCTTTCCTTTCCTTTCCTTTCCTAACCCTAACTCTGTAACTGCTGTGTTGTCTTTGTTTCAGGGCTGGAAGTCCAAAGAGCCCCTTTCGTTTTGCTAATGTTTGTCCACATTTCATTCAGGAAAGCTTAAAATGAACTGCACAAAACAATCACTCAGTCTTTGAGAAAGTGTTTTTGGGTGGGTAAGTCAACTACCTTGTGGTAGTTGTTTGCATATGATGAATGTAATGACTCGGTCAGCAGCCAGTTTACTGCAATGTCAACACATAATGTTTCTGTTTCAGAAATTTCTATTGTGAAAGCTTGAAAATGCTAAACCTCATTTAGTTGTAATGAACTGATAAACGAATCTTCTCTTCCTCAACATAGTGTTTCTTTATATTCATGCAAGAACAGTCATCATCATTGCTAACTCTATGTAACATCAAAGCTCTTGGTGTTTGTTGGTCTTATTCATATTGATTCATTCATGAATAACTCTTTTTGCCTGTACACGGAGAGAGAAATCACAAAAATGTGAGCTATTTCTCAGTAGATTGGTGGTTTCTACTGTAATCTTTAACAGCCCATTTCAGTGTGTGATAACAGCAATTTTGTGGATTCACTGCATGTCATGCTGTGTAAGTCTAATAAAGTCTCGGTAGCACTCTAGGACAGGCTGTATAATGTCAGCTTTTAGGCATCCAATTATACCATGAATGTCCTGTGATTCATAGTGCTACAATGACGATACAAAATAATGTATGCAAATCCATTGGTTATGAATGGAAAGCCCAAAATATGTATTTTATGAAGTCAATACATTAAGTAAATATTAGAGGGGGAAATCACTTTGAATTTTAATTCAGTTCAGATCAAAAAATTGTAGCACAACAAACTGTAGACCTAACACTGACATATTATTACCTTATTACATTCATATGGTGAAAGAGTTAAAACAGTTGAGAATTTCACATCAAGCAGACATGGAGAGTTGTTTGTGTCCTAATAAAATTCCTATTTTCACTGGGTTTTTTTTAGAGCAGATGTGCTCTCCATCAGTTCCTGAAATTTATAAGTGGGTCTTCACAAGGTAAATGCTACACTAATAATTTTGTCTGTCTGCCTGAGCATCCAGTGGGTCTTTAGCTACAAGATGATGCAAATGTTTGCAAAGGTGAGAAAACCATAGAGTTGATTTCTCTGTAAATTTGTTTGTACAGACTACACATTTCACCTTACATTGTACTTTGAAGTATTAACAAAAAATATTCATTATTGTGAATTACAATATCAATAGTATTATTAACAAATATGTCCAGCAGAGCAGCTTTAAGAAATTTGCAAAAGAAGCTGAATTACAATCACTCAAAAGTAGAACATTAGATGACATTAAACAGTGTAAACAAAGCAAAAGTTCGAAGTCAGGGGGAAACCTCATTCTGCTTTTTGTCATTTACCACTCTCACTGTAGTGTGATGTCATCTTTCTGGGGAGCCCAGAGGGACGACATGCAGCCAGTGTGTGAATCTGAGACAGGCTGGTTCTTATTAGTTCTGCTTGGTCTGCAGTTCCATACAACAGACTAATAAATCTGGTAGTGAAGTGTCTCATCAGTTACTGTCTGTCAAACGGATCTAAGTGGGAGAGAATGAAAAAGCTAGTGGATTCAAAACAAGATCGAGGCTGTTGGTGCTTGCACTAAGCTGTGGCAAGCAGTTTTCTCTTTATGCATTTCACTTGCATTATGACTACTGCCAGATCTTGTTTTTTAACATCAGACATGCCAAATAATCTCCTCAACTCCTATACTTCTGATCAATGGCAACTATAAAAGGGAAAATATTAACACTGAACTGACTTGCAAAGGGGTAAACCTGCTTTCTTCCCATTTTCGGAGCTTTTTTGTCCATTACCATGCAGTAACAGAGTGAGCTCTAAAAACCCTTTGGTTTTTTTCTGATGTTTCCTTTCCTAGTCATCTTTTAGGAACTTGGAAAACAAACCTTTTCTTCCAAATTTATGACTGGAAAAACAGAATGCATATTTTTAAAATGACTGGACTTGGAGCACAGTGAGAAATTTGGGTTAACTTGTTAAGTAAATAGATGCACAGGCCACTTCATTGCTTCTTTTGAGGCAGTTTGTTCACCCTGACTGTGTATTCCACCATATTTTTATGAATACCAAACAGCTGCAAACTCATTGGGTTTATAAGTCTGTTGGCACTGTCCCAATGGACCTGGTTCAAGCCATGACCTTCAAAGAAATCACAGAGAACAACGTCAGTCTTCCAACATGGACTGACCATTCAACAGTGGACAGCGATCCAAGTTGCTTACAAGACAACCAGTGTGGAGCCTTAATCTAATGCCTACTTCCTGTGATTTCCATTTGCTGAAGTCTTTCATTATGCTCTTTTTCGCCCTGAGACCAGTGTAGCTATGCATTACTGTGACCACAGAGGATATGTTGGTTGAAGACTGTGTGTTTACTATGCATTGTATTTTTATGGACTGAGATGATGGCAGGCATGGGACAGAATGAACACAGCCACACACACAAGGGTTCCAGCCTTAACAATAGGTTTTGTTTGGATGTTTTACTGGTGACATCAGTTGTTTCTTGTTAAGGGAGTGTCTACAAATCCTACTGTTTTTGGGCTCAGAGGTCTATCTGCCTTTCTTTCCCCACACAAGGATAGAATTTCTATTTTTTAATGACTCTTTCCTTCTTGCACATCCTTCCCCCCATCTATGTAAACAATTTGAGTTTTATTTCCTTTATTATTCTATTTTATTGCTGCTGGACCACTTCCCTCAAAACCAAGTCATCTACTGACCTGTCTTTTTTTCAACTCCATGTTGTTCCTGTGGGTGAGATGTTTTGATAACACCTCTTGGGTGCCTTTTGTCTCTCACACACAGTGACCTTCCCCTCTTTTTTCCTTTGGAAATAACTTGGAGGTTGAATGTAAACCAAACATAACATTTGGACCTCCCCTGCTCCCATTACAGCACCTCAACCACCACAAGAGTAGCTAACACCCTTCGAGGCAGCTGCAACCCTCTCATCTCTATGCTGACATGGAACTCCCAACTAAGTGGAGTTGGAGATCTCTGCTTTAATGTTGCTTTTACCTTTGAATAGACTGCATATTAATAGCATGGGGTGGAAGCTAGAGAATGAGAGTTTTTTAGGATATGTTGCTTTAGAGTTTAGGACCCTAAGTATTTTATTCAATCCATCGGATCAGTCATTATATGCACAATGGATGAACTAAGAGTCCATATCTTTTATAGAGTTAATGGGGCATAGTACAAGCAGGGGCCCAACTACTGTATATCAGCTAAATAAAACAAAAAAGCCAGAAGACATGTGCCTGAAAGAAAATACCACAAATCTTAATGTTTATTAAAAAAATCATAATTTATTCATGCTAAATCATTACCCCATAGTAAAATTGTGATGCTTTGAGCTAAATGTTAATGCCAGTATGCTAACATGCTCACAAAGTCAATATGCTGATATTCTGCAGATATAAAATATATTATTATCACCATCTAGCTTTAACATGCTAACATGTTAATGTTTTCTAATTAGCACTCAAAGTGCAGTTGAGTCAGATGGCAGGGTCATTTTTTAGCAGAGTTTTTTATTATAAACCAAAATCTGTGAGAAATGTGTCAATCTATCCAGAAGATGCAACCAGCAACCAAAAATGAACATTTTGACTTGCTGGTGATGCTAGATGAAAAATGAGGGAATCACCAAGGTTTGTCTAGGCCTACTACGTCATTGAGGGTAGTCCATTTAACAGCTTGGACACATTTCAGTCTGGACCGAAGCAATGGACTGACTTAAAATGTCAACCAATAAGCCAGGCTGCTAGCCTGGCTAAAAACATCTCTCTGGTAGCATACTGCTTGAATCCACTTTCATATTTATTTCACATAGCCTGCTGATATGCACTGTACAGCTGATGTTCAAAACTACTGGAACAATAAGAAACATAGAGGCCAGTGGTGGGCAGAGGGAGAAGACAAACAACAGAATAATTCACACACACGGTTTGAGTTAGTGGGCTCCCATTAAGGACAATGTGGTCTGGAAAAAACTTTACAGTTCACAGTTTAAGGGCATTGTTAAGACTCTTCAACCCACCACTGGAAGGTCACAGTCAGTCATTTGGGGATACTACACACTGTGCAACTGAAATTCATAAACAAGAACAACAATGGACAACTGGAATGCAAACAGATAGAAAGGCCAACGGTGGTTGACACTGTAATATAAATACAGTAAATATAGCAAGCATTAAAAGTCAATGACCAATGGCTTGAAATTTGTTGTAAATCTGCAGTGATAGCTACTAATCGAACTGTATTTGTTTGGATCTTTTGTGCGACATACAGTACAATTGTTGTTTAAGACAGTCTCTTTGATCAGTTAATTTAATGTGTATTTCAACTGTTTGCTTGCTGCTACAGAGTTTTTCAGAAAGTGGTTACATAGCTCTGCAGCAAACACAGTACCACTTACAAGTATGAGTTAATTCTTAAATGTTTCACATTAGTCATATCAATTTAATCAAATGACTCCAAACACTTTCTGAAACTACTACTAAATTTCTGGTTTAACTAATGTTTTGAAACTGAAAATGGGGCAAAGCATGGACTTCAGCAGGCATGCAGCAGAAAGTGAGAGTTATAGTTGTGAAGGGCTCCAATTGCATGGATTACTTCACATAAGATAGTGGAAGTCTTGGCAACGGGAAGGCTATGGTGCCTTTGTGTCTGGGTTTCAAGTTTGCTGTTTAAAAATCTCTCCTTTGCTTTTCCATGCCTAAATCCAGAGGATCATTAAATGGAAAAAAGTCCTAAGTACTTTCACATTCACACGTTTGTGGAAAGTGAGAAAGCAAGGAGACTGTAACATAGTGTGTGGGGCTATGATCAATATGGCCTTTGGCTATTATCTCAAACAAACAAAGTCACCTTAAGAGATTGAATTAAATGAAATAGTTTAAAAACAGGTCTTGTCCTTTGGTAAATTTACAATATATACCTTTGTGTGCATGAGTCTACCAGGGCATTTGTTCTGCATGCAACTCCACCCTTTAATGTATGCAAGTTGATGTTGACACCAGATGAAGGGGCTTGTAATTATGTTACATACTTGGCTGTTGGGGGAGGTTGGGGGCTAATCCCTACTTTAATTTCAGCTCTGTAGAGCTGTGGTCAATATATACTGCAGTCTGACACAGAAACAGACTGAACACAGGTGTTTTGAGGAAGATAATGCTGGAAACACTAAAAGTTAATCAGATTTAAAAATGCACTGGCTCACATTTCTAAATTTAAAAAAGGATATCTCTAATTAGTTTTGTCTCTTGTTCATGAATCTACTAAATGGAGCCCCTAACAATCAACTCTGGAAGAAACTTTACAGGCCAAAGGATCTCATAAGAACCAGTTTTGTATAGTGCATGAAGAGTAAAAGCAAAATGACATTTTGTTCCTTACATGCTCTAAGAGCCTCATATGTTACAGTGTAAAATGCTAGCATGTAGAAAAACCTACTTATGAATTAAAGGATTAGTTTGACATTTTTGTTTCCCAGCTATTCACTTTATAAGGACAGATACCATGATTCTCCTATACTTTTTATTGCACATACGTCCTATTTTGAATGCATACTTTTTTAAAATGTTTGTTTTAATATATTCTTATTTTACTTTTTTGTTTCCTGTTGCCCTACAAAGCACATTGAGAGCCCCTGTATCAGAGTCAAATTCCTGTTTAACATACTTGGCCAATAACGTTGATTCTGATTCTGAAAGGCCAAACACAAATATGTACACCAGTGCACTCTTACACACATAGCTGTTGCACACATTGCTAGCTAGCAGCTAATGTTTGAACAGTTGGTAGCCTATGCTGACTGGCAGTTTATGGAAGCCAGTCTGGTAGTTAAATTTTTTTTATTAATTAGCTTGGCTTTCTATTTCAAAATACCTTAATTTTTTTTGTTTAATCCACATATAAAAAGACATTTAAAAGTGATTCTGGTTTACAGGGAGGTGCTGTAACTAAGAACAATCATATCTTCATTCTGAGGTTGACAGGCAACCAATGGAGATGTTGCATAAAAATTCCAGGTAGACAGATTTATGCTATTCATATGAAGAATGTAAAGTTGACATCACACCGTCTTAAATTTTGGGTAAATGTGCCATGTTTGGAGCATCACGCTCATTATCAATCACAGATATACACCACATACATCTATAAGTTAATAAAAAAAAAAAAACAACATCCCATACAGCTACATACAGTAGCGAATGCTTCTACTACATCCAAACATCCTCTTTAGTGTTGACTTTGAGCATAGTCAGGACAGAAATTGATTCATCTGCAGTGTTTGTGTCTGTAGCTGCTAGCTAGTGTAAATTCTTGAACTGTGGGCTGAGATCAGTGTGCAGTCATTTTTCAGTCTGTTGCTCTCAAACATGGGATGTCTAGGTCTCTTTCAGGCTAGCTACAGTCAACTTAGATGAGAGGAGAAACATCTTCGACCTAAAAAAAACCTAGTCCAGTTGATTGTTCTAAGTTTTTTCAGCTTACTATGACCTGGAAGACTGAGAATTTGCATGGACATACAGTCAACTAAGGTTATCAGTTGTCAGCAAAGTGAGGTCTAAACAATTTAAGCAACTTTTTAGCCAAACAAAACAAGAATGTATGCAGGTAAATATAGCATTAACATCCAAAAAGGCGCCCCCATTCCAACATTTAACACAGTGTGATGTACAGTATCTTCACATTATTTATTTCAGCACATAACTCCCCCTAGGCCAGGCTAGCCAGCTAGCTAAATAAAAATGGCTCACCTGAATCTAGCTAACGTTACAGCATGGTAAACTGTAAATTAGCTAACAGCATATTTCCCAAAATGTGAAAGTATTCCTTTACAAAAGACCATAAACAAACACATGTTGACAAAAGTTATTTAGCAGCAAATCTTATTAGATGGGAACAAAACAGTGTCAGAGTAAACTCAATGGTCATTGATTGTGATGACCACACATCACAGGACTTCAACCTGCTGATATCTGGTCGCAAATACCATATGAAACATGTTGGATATAATTGCTGAGGCTCAGGCTAGCCTGCAACTTTCAAACTCTGATCTCTCTTCCAGTTGTTATCATGGACTAATCTGATCTAAATCAGTGCCATATTCTTCTACTGTGCTCCCAGTCAAAGCTACACAGGATTCTTACATGGGTGCAAAATAAAAATAGTACTTCAGGAAGTTACATCAAAAAACAAAAACAACAACAAAAAAATAGTATGTACAATGTTTTCATTACTTTGAGGCATTACACATGTTGCCCTTCAAAATCCATTTGAATACAAACCAATACAGGCTATAAATAGACAATACTTTTTACATGAGGCACAGTTAGAAGTGGTGTTTGTATTTCTCTCATAGCTGCTGCTCTTCAAACAGTATCTGAGCATACACGGTGCCACTACATGACGCCTTGGTCTCTGGAATTGGCTTCACCAGATCCAACTCTGCATAGGTCAGATTCTCCTCCACTATCTTTGGCTGGAGACATAACGAGGTGGGAAGGAAGAGGAAAATAAAGATGGAGGGGAGGTGGTATAAGTGGAGAGAAAAGGATGAGGAAGGTTGGGAGAAATATTTATGTGGAACTCCATTAAGCTAACTACTAAGCTGTAGCTGCTGTAGATTAACTTAAATAAAATTGAAATGTCAGACAAGAAATCTTTTGAATTTTGGAACAAAAAATTTAAACTGATTAAAATAAAAAGCTGAGAACACTAGACTCCAAAAAGTTGGATGTTTTCCTCTCTCCTCTCTTTGTTTTTCTTCTAGTTTACAGCATTTGGAAAATGTGAGCAGGCTGTGAGCAGATGTTACATGATTTCCGAGTTGAGGTTGCCAAAATCTTACTAGCTTCTGCAGCATTTTGTGCCATTAAAATGCTAAGATGCCGTAGACCCGCTTCAGTTAAGTGATCAGTATAAAATCAAACCTAAGTTATGAGTCATTGTTTATTATGTTTTCTGGTACTTTTGTTTACAGATATTCTGGTCACATGCTAGTTGTTCTCCATTATATTTGGCACAATAACAATGGCAGACTCACTTCTGTATGAATGCCTTGTTAGGTAGAGTATGATGGTACACAAGTATGAAAATATGGAAATTGATTACTGGATACTGGTTACTTGTTATCAATGAAAAATGACAATGAGGCAAGCATCTTAAAAAGTGGCATGGATGGTACTCACCAACACTATTTTCCTTGGTTGTGGTTTTAAAAGTTTGGGTTTCCGTGTTTTGTCTCGAATGGGAGCTGTAGGGACAAAACGGGAGTTAGTGATCTGTTCAGCAAATGTTTTTTCCTGTATACATTTATGTACAACATGATCCAGGCCTCTCTATTATAACCACAAACTTGACATGCACTCCCGTTTCACTCAGTGTTTGGACAGTTGAGTTTCTAAAAGGAAAAAGAAAAAATGATTCAAAATCAGTACTGGTTCTAATATTTAAAACTCAATACCACTGGTACCAAAGAGATTGGTCATTTGAGTGGAGCTCGAAAAAGAGCACAAGAATCAATCAACTCTTTGCCCTAAAGCTTCACTAATCTGCAACAGAGCAAAAAACTATACTTAATGTGAGAGGCAATGCTGTGATTAACCCACAAAAAATGATCACCTGACCCTGTCAACTTTACGGTTTTAGTGTCATTCAGCTTAATGTTCTGATTGCAACCTAAGGGGAAAACATTTATTCAATGTTCTGTTACAAGTTAGATGTGAAAATGCAGGGATTTACTGTGAATATTCACCATAGAGAAAAAGCCTTTCTAACTTGATTTCATACAGGAGAAAACTGTGCAGAGCAGCATGGTGGTGCAGTGGTTAATGGCTGTTGTCTCACAGCAAGAAGGTTCTGGTTTTGAGTCCCAGCTGACCCGGGGCCTTTCTGTGTGGAGTTTGCATGTTCTCCCTGTGCCTGTGTGGGTTCTTTTTGGATACTCTGGCTTTGAAAGACATGGAGCTTAGGTTGACTGGCGACTTTTAATTGGCCGTAGGAGTGAGTGTCTGTGGTTGTCTGTCTCTATGTGTCAGTCCTGTGATAGACTGGCAACTTGTCCAGGGTGTACCCAGCCTCTCGCCCAGTGTCAACTGGGATGGGCTCCAGCCCCCCTGTGACCCTCTTCAGGATAAGTAGTATAGATAATGGATGAATGCATGGAAAACTGTGTGTGTAACCAGCACCACAGACCTTTTTTTTGTTTTTTTTTCTACCTTTTGCTGGTATCTCTGGTGGTGTCTCCTCTTGGTAGTCTCTGCTCCTTTTCTTCCTGTACCTCCTCTCCTTTTTAGGCAAAGCAGGAGACACACTGACCACACTGGTGACTGTCTCTCCTGAGCTAAAGTGAAACCAGATTACCAGATGGTTTAGCTCAGTTAAGAACATTATTATTATTATTATACATTTATTTAGTTTTAATAAGACTTTAGTGTGAAGCAGTGTCACCCTAAAATCATACCTGTTCTGTGGACTTTTGACCAAGTGGTAATTATCTGTGGAGAATGTGTTATACATTTAGAAACCTAATAGCTGGTTCAGAAACTGATGATTGCACTTTTAGAGGTCAATGGAGGGTGATCTTGATGTTGCTGCTAACCTTTTAATCTCTGCTTCCTCTGTATGTACTGGCAGGTTACCGTCACTGTGAACATACACATGCACAGCAGGCCCACTGAACAGATCAGCACTGCACACAGGTACACATCTGAAACACACAAACATGTACACACTACATTGGTCTTGTGCCCAGTGCTTCACTGCACACAAAAATTTGAAGGAAACATTGAGTGCATGTTCTGCTGAGCTATTTAAGGCAATGTAGTACATGCTTTGGTTTGTGTTATTTTTGCCTTTCAAGGACTATACAGTACCAGCCAACCCCAAACACACACACACACACACACACACACACACACACACACACACACACACACACACCCACTCAGACATGCTATATGAATATATGACGACTTACCTTCAAACAAGCTCCACAGGCTTTCTTTGGCCTTGGTGGCTGGTAGGACATGCACTACACAGAGAAAGAAAGAGAGAAGAGAAACACATGAAGCCCAAACTCATCAGTGTGGCTTCCCTGCTGCCTGATTACATGCCAGTTAGAGTTTAAATAAAGCTAACTGTAGGAAGACAATGAGGAGAGGTGGGCCTCCTCCCTGCCTGATCCTCTGTGGCTCACTGTCCAGAGGGTTTATCCTTCACTAAGAATGGAAGAAATATCTCTAACATTAATGCAAGCAGTTGGTTCTGAGTTACAGTACATATTTAAACTTTGCTCACCACAGCAGCTTGGCTAACAGGTGTTAACCAGGCCTGTATGCTTGTTGAAATATCAGTATGCAGATGCAACTGCCAGTTTTGTTACAAAAACACTATTTGCATGTAGCATACCAGTGTGCAATATTGTTGAACTTTTAATTATTATGTTTATATTGATAATACTTTTGTTATTTTTTAGCTCTTAACACTAAGTGTCTTGTTTTTTGCTGCTGTAGGTCTGTGAATTTCCCCATTGTGGGACTAATGAAGGTTCATCTTATTGTATCTTATCTGATCTAATGTGATCTTATGAAATGTAGCAATCTACTGCTAGCAACATTAGCATTAGCTAAGGTCCCACCTTTGGTACAGTGCCATTTGGAGTTCCAGAGTGGTAAATACTGCACCGAGCAACGTGCAGTATTTCTTCTTGCTTTAAATGCCTTTAGAGTTGAGAATAAGATGCAGTTGATGTTAGAAAACAACAACTAGCAGCCAAGTTTACATTAGTGAGAATGGCCCAATTGTGCATTGGCTAAGCTATATTAGCGCCTGATAACTTGGCTGATTTAAATAAGTCACTGGCAGATTTTATCAGATGTAGTTACTAAGCTAATTAACATTAGCTGCATGACTTGGTTTGCTGACTTTATGGGTGCTAAAAATGCATTTGGTCGACAAGCATAATAATTGACAGCTCAGCACTGTATAATGATGGAAGACAGACCTAAGCTGAAGCTTACAGCAAAAATGGCAAAGTGTAAGAATTAATAACTGTAAAAATGTACAAGACATGAATATAAAGGAGCAGCATCATTTTTGTATTGCAGGGTAAACTGCATACTATGAGAACAAAGAGAAGCTTGTCAGCTTAATGTACTGTATCTTCTTATATGGCTTATTGAATATTCTATCTGATAATCTGTACAGTAGATATGACCTGTTAACAGACCCAAAATCAAATATAAGCATCAACAGGGGAGTGAAGACCAGTGAATAGAGGCCTAAATCTGTAATGAAAATCCCTGCTATGTGCTTCCTGTGTCCCAAATGGCTGAGAAAAAAATGTTTCCTATACACAACATGAAATTTCACTCCACATACTCATTTGTCCACCCTATCTAACCACAGCAGTCTTAACACTGCTGTCCTCCTGCTGAGCTGGTGGTAGGATGCTTGTGAAGTGACACCCACCAGGGCATCTTGAAATACCCCAAACCACAAGCAGCTGACGACGGACAGGCTAGCCACCATGCCAGCTGAAGACTTTCCCACAGGCAGACTGGCTGAACTGCCTGCAGTCTGACTGACAAACCAGCAGGCACGTGCTTCACACTGTTTTTATCTCAAAACTCACTTTATCTACACAAAGCTGTTACAGAAGTCCTTCCTGTATTAATCCTGGAATAGTACTTTAAAATTCTTTGTAGACAAAACTTGAATGGGGAAACCTAAAACTTAAAAAACTATAATCTAATACTGTATTTCTTTGAGTTTGTTAGTAACCCTGATTACAGCTTTCATGGGAGAAAAATGAGATTATATTTACAGCCAGTCTTTTGTGGAAGCAACAATACTCAGACTTGAGAAGTTTCCTTTGGATTCAGTCTGGAATAATCAAAAATGGGATAAATCTGTTGTGTACTTGGCTAGATGCAGACTCTGAATTGGAACAATGGAGCTGTGACTGATGATGTTTCACAAGTGTGCAAGAACATAAGTATAGCAAAGAACACATTTGGAAAAGGCCTGCAGTGCTCCAGACTGATCCCATTTCTGATGATTCAACAAGTGTGGCTGCTGCACTGACAGGGATACACAGAACCTGTTATCAAAGTTTATGCTGTGAATGATTTACTGTGAAGGAATGGCAAGGCTTTGTGCAACTTTTGAATGGCTGAAGACTGCATTCGACTACAGTGGAAGCATTCAGACAGACTACTTTTGTTTGTCGTTGCCACAGAGTTGCATTCAGTTGCTGACAGTATTTTAGACTTGTGGCTCTTTTTTTTACCTCAACAAACCCCACACTGTGACCATCAATACAGATGCTACGTTTATAGTTGGAGTTAATAATGATGCTCTGTCTTCACCATCTACTGAGTCAGTCACTGCTCTAAGTTTTGTATTATAAATGACTGACGATGAATGTAAGTACACAGCAGGGCTGTGTGTTACAGCTGCAAATAATCCACTTTTTAACTTCCTGTTGTCTCACAGCATCTTTTCTTTTAAGAATGAACATCCTCTGTCCAGTTGTTATCCATGTCCCTATTGTGAATATAAACACAGGCCATTGTTGGCAGCTTTTATGCTTTATACTTTTCTTACAGAAAAATCTCTGAAGACACTTTTGTAGCCTAAGAATTGTGACTTCTAATTTTATTTTTTCCTTGTGGAACTGCCAGTTGTTCTTACTATACTTAAACCAATGCCACATCCGGATGCTGTGTATCTCTCTTGTTAACTTACAGTTGCCCACATGTGTCAAAGAAAAACCTATGAGCTGAGTTTGTTTATGCCCAGAGGAGGCTGTGTCCACACTGTGCTGCACCCTCAGTTTTTTTTTCTACTCAACCCTCTGACCTCTCTGACTGTGTTTATTATAGTAGTAGTAAGCAGAGTAATGGGAGTTGTATGTGTGAGACAGATTGTGGAAACACATGGCCACCAAATGTTATCCAACCAGAAGAACACACATGCACATATAAAGTCTCAAAGTCATGTGCTGTTTTTCATCTCAAGTGGAGACCAGGAGCAACACATTTGAGGGGTTTAACCCCTCAAATGTGCTGCTGACATGTATCATAGCTGTCAACCACTGGTTTGGACATTAGGAAGAAATACTGCTGCCTGCTGTTCCTCCGAGCAGTGGTTTTCCTGTGTTGTTAAAGCATTGGCCTGTCCATCACAATTACCGTACACAGATCCTCAACAGTGTTTAAGTATTTGTGACAACATTAGATTGTCTTAAAGTTGCAGTTCTTAGTTTTGATTTTCCTCAATTTTGTTTCGAATTTACACATCGGAATCAATTTACCCATTATGAGGCAACTCTAGCAGTTCAAATATATAATGTATCTCTAAATTTTAAAGATGGAAAACATCAACGCTTGAGCTAGGAGACTGCAAGGCTCTAAAAGCAGCCAGCATTACAAAGAGGGACATAAAGTTTGAAACATGTAAGCATTTAATAGGCAGGTCTAATAAAGAGTGCTATTTAGCTGCATCATAGAGGGTTCATGCAGACCCCTCACATCCTGGACACAAACTAGACGGCGCTACAATCTCAGATATTGATATTTCATTTTAAGGCTAATGGTCTCCATGTTAACAAATTGTTTTGATCACGCTGGATGGAATTTACAAATGTTAAGGTTGTTTTATAGAATGTGAATTTACAGCATATGTGCATATGAAGTAAACTGCAGGCCTCAGTCACATTTGATGGTATGAGCTACAAAGTAGAGCTGCAAATAAAAACTCCTTCTAAATCTACTGTGTTGCCCAAGCTGCAAGAGACTCATTGTTGTTGTGTAATGAAAAATATACTGCTGTTGTATTTTCTACATCTATTGCCATTCCTGTCATAATTGCAGTATTCATTCAAAAAAGTCACAGTATGCTCTTTTATTATTATCACTCAAACCACAACGAACTGGTGCTTCCTTGGATGAAAATAGTTCTCCACATCCTTGACCACAAAAGGTTGAGAGGCAGGCACAAGTCAGCTGCCCACTCAACTGTTACTGCAGACAAACATTCGAACTTTACCTTCTTTAGCACAACTGTGTCTTGTTCCACTTCTGCTGAGTCTCTCTGGACTCCCTGTCTCTGTCTACTTTTGGGAGGGAAACTCTTTGTGGGGGCCAATGTCAACAGCTCTCGGTAGGGACTACGTGTCTGCCTGGGCCCAGACTTGGCTGTGGACACCCCAAAAGTCACAGCATGTAGGAATGCTTCCATGGAAAATGTGGTGAGCAAGCTGTTGTTCAAAGTGGAGAGAACACTGACAGTACTACAGTAGAAGCCTATATTTAAAGATGAATTGTCTTCATATTGTTGTAAGGATAAAAATGAATACATGCACTAATTACAAAAAGCACCGCCAAAACAGCCCTCTCCCTAAACCAAAAACACAAGAACAAATATGTACAGTAGTTAATGTACAGAATGGTTTGTTTATCTGTTTAGTTTAGCCAACAGTTGGTGCTCAAACATAAATGCATTATTTCCAAGACTACAGTATCACTAACTGACGAGATGAGTTCATGGGGTTAGAAGTTAAAGTAAAAGTCCCATTCACAACTACATCTTTATTTAGTATTTCCACTGTGGAAGCCAGACCTGGATGCTATCAGAGTTTAGGCTAATATTAACAGCCTTGTCATGCTTTTTATTCAGTTTGGAAAGTTTACACTCCATCATCTGTGACTAGCTTCACCTCAGATAGTGTTATGGTTACTCTCATCCTAAAAGCTCTTTCTCTTGCAATGTTAAAAGTGAAAACATACTGTTTGAAAATAAAATGTATGTACTGTAAGCTGTAAAGATATGCTAGAATTAAACTGCAGAATGATTTTTAAATTGTCCTCAATTTAAAAGGAGTCAGTTGGAACCAATAAGAGGTAATGTGGAAATCACATTTTCATTCATTAACTGAATTAATTAGTCACAGCTGAGAAAATTTGACAGTTACAGTTGTCATTTCAGTCAGCAACTGATGTCTGTTGGCTAGGCTAACAGAAGCCTGGTTTTGTGCACCTGCCTTAAGTTGAGGACCCATTGTCTCAAAACTTAATCCAAATTTTGAGTGAAAAATTTGTGACTGACAGCATATGTGCCATGTAAAGAATTTTGGGTTGGCTGTGGCTCACGAGGGAGGGCAAGTCGTCTTCTGACCAGCAAGTTGGTGGTTCGACTCCCGGTCTCCCCGCATGCCTAAGTGTCCCTGAGCAAGACACCGAACCCCGAATTGCTCCTGGCGGCTTGACTAGCACTGTTGTGTGGCAGCCTTGTCGTCATCGGTGTGTGAATATGTGTGTGAATGGTGTATGATCTCCTGTAAAGCGCTTTGGCCAGTGCAATACACTGTGAAAAATGTGCTATATAAATACAGTCCAGTCCAATTTGACAGGCTGTTGTAATAAATAGCAGCAAATTTGGGACCAAAGAACAGTCGCTTCTGGGCTGCTGGTGAACATCTGCATTGTAATATAATCTGCAATATATGAAAAGCTGAGAGGAATATAACACTTCTTAGGTTTGCCTTTGGTTTTATGGGGGTTAAGGGACTCCACGGAGGATCTGATACTGTACCAGTGGATGTGTCATCGATTCCGCTGTGCGATCGTCTCATGTACCAGTGGCGACACTAAAACCTCAATCTCTCTCAGCTCTTTCTCCAAGATCATCTACTCAGTCAAAACCACAACTTATTGCAGTGGAGGATCCTTTCATCTCCAGACTTGCTTCTAACCAATAACATTTCCCTTCCAAAATCAAAAGCAGGACAGTACTTTTGCTCAGTCAACCCGTGTCCCAGTTGTGGTCAGAGAATCTGCTACTGCTTGAGACACACTACTGCTCTCCCAGTTTGATGTGTTCACAGCTGTGAGCTGCTGAGTAACAGTCTCAGTTTTTTGCTGCTGGTTATGGAATATCTTTGCAGACCAGCCTGGCATCTGTATTAAAGTCTTTGTGGTATTACTAATATCAAAAAAGCATTTGGCATTGTTGTAGTTGCAAAAAGAGTTGTTAAGTCTCTGCCCTGCACTAATAAAGGAAATGGTGTCATTCAGGCGGGAAACCAAGAATTTACGATAGCAGCCTAATGAAGAGGTTCCCAACATTTTATGGCCCACTATCTCAATTTTAGTTCTGACAATATTCTATAAAGACTTCTAATCATTTCTTAACTTATGAAAGAACATTTAGACTGCAATTACTACTATGGTTCATATTTAAACTGATGTTAATTTTGAACTGATCATGTCTAAAAGTGTTGGGAAATGTAATAAATAAACCTAATAAACTCTTTTCAAAGTTTCTTGTGCCCAGCATTAGCTCACTGAGCTGCACCAGGGCTGAATGGTTCAATCACCTGCTCATTTTTTTGTTAACTTGCTACTAGGGGTGGTTCTAGTCACTTTGAATGCCTTAGTGTTTCATACTCAACAGACCTCTAGTGGAACATCCCTTTAAGAAACTCTACAAGCACTTTTCATACAACATGTATGCTTCTTCTTACCTGGCTTAAACATGGATGTAGTTGGAAGTGACTGATTTTAGCCTAAAATACTTAACTTGTGTCTCAACAAATGTGCAGCAGGATGATGCTCACAGTGTTTGTTTGACAGGAAAAAACAGCAGCCTCACCTCTGAGCTCAGTAGCAGCGGTGGAGTTGGACGCAGCCTTCCAGCGGTCCTGGTGCTTTTTAAACTCCTGCACCCGGCACATGTAGAGGCCCTGGTCCCCCTCAGACACATTCAAGATCAATAGGTCAAAGAGCTTCCCCTGCTTCACCACCGTCAGCTTCAGTTTGGGCCACGGGAAACTCTTTGAGTAGTTACCATAGAAACGGGCCTTTCTCATGTTGATGCGGGCAATGAGGAGTTCGTCTTCCGGCCGGTCTGTACCTGCTGGTAGGAAGGTCCATTTCACCACTGGTAAAGCCGTATTTCGGCGCCGCTGGGACACAACACAGGAGAGTGTGATATTTTGACCCTCCTGGGCCACTATGAAGGGGTAAGGGATGATGGTGACATTGATTGCTAAACACAAATCTGGAAAAGCAAGAATTTTAGAATCAATATTTGGAACAATATGTAGAATTGTGATGTCTAGATGTTTTCAGGTGACTCTATTTCATACTATAATGTCTCTCCCATATCTGATTTGGTGACATTAGCAGCCTTTTTTAAACTTTATCATTAGTTTATTTTTAGGTCACCTCAAATATTTTTTAAATGGCTAAGAATATATAAATAAGGAGGCAGTGTGAAACTTTAACCTATTAAAAGTCAGCAGGTCTTTGTTCCGCTCCCACAGTTGACCAGATTATGGCTAAAAATTGCTGTTTGCCAACAAAAACAGAATGAAGATGTTTGCATTATTTGGTAACTGTGGAAAGCACCTTTTACCAAAATGACTGAAAAACACTTCTCTGGACTCATCATTGTCACAGGTAAATGGAAATGGAGGATTTATGCCAATTCATGTTTTGAAGTTTGGTAAGAAAAAGCAACATTAGTTTAGCCAACAGTTGGTGAGTGGCACATTTATGCAGCCCGGACTTGAACTCATATTCTGATCTGATTTTCATTACAATTCTTTGTAACTTTATGTTGTCTCAACTTTAAATCTGACTGACCTAATTTATTCCAATTAGGCAAAATATTAATAATTTGTCTTCATTCGCAGATGGTGTTTGCTTATAAAACTGAAGATGTTCACATTTTACATTCTCGTCAGTTTTGTAAACTACTTTGTCCAAGGTCAAAGAACTAACTGTTCAGTTGCTACTCAGTTTTGTAGCCAACTAAACATGGCATAAAAGTCCTACAACTTCTCAGAATAATTTCAAGTCAAAGACACAGTAGGTTGTCCTGTCATAGGATTCAGGGTAGGGATTCACCATGTTTGTGCAATTCTGGTCCCTAAATATGACAGTGAAGATGAATGGGTTAAAAGATACATAGTATGCCTTCCTGACTTTAAACTTGACCATCAAAGCACCATAAAAGAATAACAATCAGCACAGCAAACAGTGAATGACTGCTCCAAAAGTGGAAGCTATATGTATGATGTGTTTTATCTGGTCTTAGGTATCTTTATTATTATTATTATTTGTTTATGTTTTACTGGAAAGCACCTTGTAACGCAGGTTTAGAAAGGTGCTATATAAATAAACTTTGCTTGCTTGCTTGCTAATAGCTGAAACATTTACAGTCTGGGCCTTAGAGTAGTATTCCTTCCCTTCATGCTGACATCTGTGTTGTTTTTTGGCATGTAACAATATACACGAGGAACTATCCTTATTTCTGGATGTATTGCATGACAATATATCACACATTTGTTATGGCACTGGGAATTTTCATAATCCACACTTTCAATGACACGCAAGCATTTACAGTCAGATTCGTTGAGTGCGGCACGTGATTAAAATAAGTGCATCATTTATAGTTTTTGTCTTTCATTTGGCTTTGGAAACTACAGCTGAGGGGTCACCAAAAGTAATGTTTTGGTTTGGGGGTTGAATTTAAACTCCAAACTGTTACATTTAATAGTCAGTTTGGTCAGACGATCACTGAAATCACTGTATATTAATGTAGAGGTGAAACTGCAAGCTCTGTTTTTACTTTCAAGCAGTCAGAAAAACTACCTGTTTTCACTTTGAAATTCTAGTTCATCTCTGCAAACACATCCAGCTGATGAACCAGTTATTTTCTTGCCAACACACCCTACCACATCTTAGAACTAGATTTATTTCAGCAGAAACTGGACACTTTAACATTTGGTTAAAAGGCCATCGCACATAGCAAAAATGTCTCTCTCCATCACCTCATCCATCATCCCAATGTCCTCCCCAGTTCCCAGATCTTTTCTCCAAAGTTTCTCTGAAAAAGAGTTGAAAACATTTTGCGTCCACAGCATCTACTTTGGTATGAGGTAAAATAAAGTTTTCCTACCTCCAAACAGTGCTCGGATCAGGAGAGCCAAGAACACAGAAGAGATCTTCATTTTTCACGGCTGCAGCCTCCATAAACGTTCGGTTAAATGCTGAAGAAAAGCAACGGCGGCCCCCCCCACACTTTTTTCCCCAGCAGAGTGTAATATGAAACTCTGGAGGCTCTGTTTCTACTCTGAACCTCCCTCTGCCCCTCCCCACTTTTGTCACACACAATGAAAACACATTTGGCAGGTTTGCATGCATGAAGAGTAGACAGAAACATACATGTAGGTGAGCATGTGCAAGGACACACACACACACACCTCTGCTGATGGTGAGTGAGTGGGAAATGCCTTTTCCTGTGCAGGATGGAGGGGAGGAGTGTGTTGAGATTGACACAGAGCAAATCACACTTCCAGCTGTGGAGGACAGCAGGCGCATTCAGGTTTTTATTTTGACACACACACACACTGACACAGGGAGACAAGGTTGAGGGGTTGGCTACATTGTGTGTGGGCATCTCTGTGGCCAATAAAATACTGGAAACATTTTTCATTTTGTTTTTAAAGTTAGTAATTCTAATCATCCCAGAGCCTCCTCCTGTGCTAAACTGGTGCGGTTGTTGTGCTCAAAATTGGTCCTCAAATCCTCTGTTAGTCAAACTGTTATGTCACTGTAGGTCTACATCCATCTCCCCTCTTCTCATGTCTCATGTAACAGGATCCCACAGTGAATCTTTGTGCAGCAGTTTGTCAGTTCAAGATTTTTTGGGACACTTCGCTGGTTGTTATCAAACCCTAGAGAGCAGCTCTGTGGGGTTCTGGGACACTTTGATTTAGATAATAACAGAGACAGCCTGTAGGACCTCGTGAGTGCTTCTAATCTGGTGACACTTTGACAAACATGGCTGTTCCCTCAACACTGAAGTTCCCATTTTGCTGTCGTTCTTCAGCATTTCATGCCAGATCAGGGCTCTAAAGACAAGGCAGAAGTATTTTGCTGTGTATTATGAAGTTAATTTTTAATGTTCGAAGAAATATACAATTTTGGAGCATAAAACTGTATCTTAAAGCTGCATTAATGAACTTTTCTGTCCGCTAGGGAGAAGAGAAAACTCAATAACAAGTGAAAAACTATCACATCTAATAATCACCACCACATAAAGTTGGTAATAGCCACATATTTGCAGACCCAGCAGACACAGAACTATGTTTTTCTGTCCATGTGCAACTTAATTAGCTCTGGTTTGGTCACTTGGGGTCTCTGTAACAAGTTGTAGACACAACACTGATACATGCACAGTATGTGTTATCTGAGCAAAGTTTAAGGTAAAGTAAGAAAGATTTTAAAAAACCTTCTAATGTTGTTTATTGAACAGAAACAGGGGCACAGTGTCATTTTCCATCATTTGTATTTAAGTTATACAAATACAAGAAATCGAAGTAGAAAAAAATGCTATACAAGCCTAGTGATGTGCTCAGATGTGACACAAGACTTCAGTTTCATGCCTGACATTATATGTATTTTCATTGAGGTATGTAGCTCCTCCTTGTGGGGAAAGCAGCAACTGTCTCTTAGCTCTCTGCTGAGTGCTGCTATATAATCTCTGTGCACTATGTGTGTCAGTAGAGCACTGGGGTTTTCAAAGGAAAGAGT